TATTTGCAATTTCGTAATTATTATTTTGAATTAATTTGATGTGCTTGATTAAATTCAAAGGTATTGAAAGGCTATGAATTAGGGGGAAATCTCCTTTAAAGTTGACTCAAGATGTAATCTCAGCAGAGGCTGTTGGTGGTCAAAGGGGTTAAATAGGCAATTGGTTTAAAAACAAAGCCACTCCAATTATTTATGAAGAGATTTGGAGTCAGATGTAGTTATTTATTCAAATATTGTAGTAATATATGCGAGATGGGAAATGAGTAGAAGTGATAACTTTACTAAAGAGTAATGGTGCTTTAAAAAAGCGAAACGGGTTTAACTACGCAAATGATTGTGATTCACACGGCAGTGATTTCACCAATCAGCAGTTTGACTGCACTGAACGTCTGCTGCTCACTGGTGCTGGATTACTACGGTACAATGTTAGCAGAGCGGTAACCGGCTGTCGGACAGCCTGCCAGCGGTGCATCAGCAGAAAACACATTTAGATGAATGTGCTATATATGTCATGTTTAATTCTGCTCAGTTTACTCAAGGTTTCAATTTTGACTCTAACCAAAATTAATTGAAGTCTTTATTATAATTGCAGGAGCTTTTATTTTGTGGTATTAGTAGGGCCTGTTGCATTTTGATCATTTGTGTTTTGTATATGATTTATTTTCCCTTGTAAAGGCAGTGCACAGTTCTAATATTATGCCTCATTTGCAGTCTTGAGATTTGAATACTAATGTTATATCTCAATATCCTGACAACAGCAATTCTGTATCCTGTGAAATAAAATATCAGACTTACTTTTTTAAAGAATACATTGACAAAAAAAAACATGTAATTTACATTAATAACCACAAACAGTTAATGAAGTCATTTGCTAAGACAGTTCTTAATTGCAACGTTCAAATGAATGACTGAAAACTGGAACATTAGATTAATGTGGATCTGAGAAATTACATGGTTGAGGAATGAGTGTAAATAATCAGATTTGACAGATCTGAAGCAGAAAAGTTCCTTTTTATACCTGAAAAGTGATTGAAAGGAGTTTAAAAGTGTTATTCTATGGAAGCTTGTTTACGCCAGGAAATGAAATAACTAATTGTGACTTTTTTCTCCCAATTGTGAGATATAAACTCGCATTTTTTACTTTATCTCGCAATCGAGTTCTCGCGATTCTGACTTTTTTTTTAATATCCTGCAATTCTGATTATATTTCTCAGAATTGAGACATCTAAACTCGCAATTCTGACTTTTTATCTCGCAGTCGGGTTGTTTCAGAATTCGGATTTTTTTCGCAGTTGAGAGTTTAAATCTTGCAATTCTGACTTCTCGCAATCGAGTTTATATCTCGCAATTCTCTATTTTTTTACTCAGAATTGAGAGATTTGAGAAAATTCGCAATTGTACTGTAAGTTATGAAATATAAACTCGATTTTATTTCTCAAAATTTAAAAACTTGGGAGTTATGAAGTCCGAATTGCAAGATATAAACGCGCTATTCTGAAAAAAAGTCTGAATTGTGAGATATAAACTTGCAATTGCAAGTTATAAAGTCTTGCGAGATAAAAACACGCAGTTCTGACTTTTTTTCTCACAATTCTGATTTTATTTCTCAGAATTGAAGTTATAAACTTGAAAAAAAGGTCAGAATTGTGAGATACAAACTTGTAGTTGCAAGAAAAAAGTCTGAATTTTTAGATAAAAGGCCGCAATCATCTTTTTCATTTTTTTACTCTGTGGCGGAAATGAGCTTCCATATTATTCCATGGAAATAAATGAAACATTCGGGCATATGATCACTTCCATCCATTTATGGATAGATTATTCATATCCTCATAATCCATTGACAAATAATGTCATTTTTTGTTGCAAGTACAATGTCACACCGCAGAAATGTAAAACGTTCAGTACAACATAGTGCCTCATACAAACCACTGTGCTCTGTAAATATCCATTTTCTTTGTATTTATGAGGTTGAGATAACGCTCTGAAGCATGGAGTGGATTATTTGTATTTACCGTTCGGTAAAGGCTCACAAAACTGTTGCCCTCAAAAAGAAGGAAAACCAAAATGACACGCTGGTCACATGAGTGGTCAAGGTGACGATCGTGTGTTGTAATTACCCATCAGTGTTGGTAATTCTCATGTTTCATTGTGACAAACTCAAAAGAAACCAATTGCGAACGTGTCCAGCACATTAACTTCTTACTGAGTCGTGTAGAATTGTTCATTCGGTTTTCTATCAACCCCGTGGAATCTGCGTACGTGTTCATTTGTTGTGCGTGTCAGTACTATGCTGAGTTTACCCTGCCATTTTTAACATAGACATCTAACATGTCTAATGTTATAATCTAAGTACCACCTCTTTTTCAGTCAGTCCATGCATGGTTTGTGTATTGAATATGTTTTCAAAAAGTTACAAAAGGATCTGATATTTGTTCGGAGTTGGGCAGTTTTTTTTTAAAACGTTTGAACCCTGGTGTTTGTCTTGCACTTTAATTTTCTCAACGGAAAGCACACAGGGGGAGAAAAAGATGAAATGCAGCACCTTGTACATTGTTTGTTTTTGTACTTATAAAGTCCTCTTTTCGAAAAGTCTTTCTTTTTTGTATTTCATGTTTTTTCATGTTAAAAGTGTACAATTGGACATCTTCCATATAAAACAATGAAGTGAAATGATCTCTGACTGTGAGCACATTTTCATAAATCAGCACTAATAAACAATATGTATGATGTGTTTCTTTATATCAAGTGTTTGTGAACTGCTTCACCCATGTTCACTGCATTTATGTTTAATGATATATAATTATATACAGGTCCTTCTCAAGAAATTAGCATATTGTGATAAAGTTCATTATTTTCCATAATGTAATGATAAAAATTAAACTTTCATATATTTTAGATTCATTGCACACCAACTGAAATATTTCAGGTCTTTTATTGTTTTAATACTGATGATTTTGGCATACAGCTCATGAAAACCCAAAATTCCTGTCTCAAAAAATTAGCATATCATGAAAAGGGTCTCTAAACGAGCTATTAACCTAATCATCTGAATCAACTAATTAACTCTAAACACCTGCAAAAGATTCCTGAGGCTTTTAAAAACTCCCAGCCTGTTTCATTACTCAAAACCGCAATCATGGGTAAGACTGCCGACCTGACTGCTGTCCAGAAGGCCATCATTGACACCCTCAAGCAAGAGGGTAAGACAGAAAGAAATTTCTGAACAAATAGGCTGTTCCCAGAGTGCTGTATCAAGGCACCTCAGTGGGAAGTCTGTGGGAAGGAAAAAGTGTGGCAAAAAACGCTGCACAACGAGAAGAGGTGACCGGACCCTGAGGAAGATTGTGGAGAAGGACCGATTCCAGACCTTGGGGGACCTGCGGAAGCAGTGGACTGAGTCTGGAGTAGAAACATCCAGAGCCACCGTGCACAGGCGTGTGCAGGAAATGGGCTACAGGTGCCGCATTCCCCAGGTCAAGCCACTTTTGAACCAGAAACAGCGGCAGAAGCGCCTGACCTGGGCTACAGAGAAGCAGCACTGGACTGTTGCTCAGTTTTGCATGTCATTCGGAAATCAAGGTGCCAGAGTCTGGAGGAAGACTGGGGAGAAGGAAATGCCAAAATGCCTGAAGTCCAGTGTCAAGTACCCACAGTCAGTGATGGTCTGGGGTGCCATGTCAGCTGCTGGTGTTGGTGCACTGTGTTTTATCAAGGGCAGGGTCAATGCAGCTAGCTATCAGGAGATGTTGGAGCACTTCATGCTTCCATCTGCTGAAAAGCTTTATGGAGATGAAGATTTCATTTTTCACCACGACCTGGCACCTGCTCACAGTGCCAAAACCACTGGTAAATGGTTTACTGACCATGGTATTACTGTGCTCAATTGGCCTGCCAACTCTCCTGACCTGAACCCCATAGAGAATCTGTGGGATATTGTGAAGAGAAAGTTGAGAGACGCAAGACCCAACACTCTGGATGAGCTTAAGGCCGCTATCGAAGCATCCTGGGCCTCCATAACACCTCAGCAGTGCCACAGGCTGATTGCCTCCATGCCACGCCGCATTGAAGCAGTCATTTCTGCAAAAGGATTCCCGACCAAGTATTGACTATTGAGTGCATAACTGAACATAATTATTTGAAGGTTGACTTTTTTATTTATTTATTAAAAACACTTCTTTTATTGGTTGGATGAAATATGCTAATTTTTTGAGACAGGAATTTTGGGTTTTCATGAGCTGTGTGCCAAAATCATCAGTATTAAAACAATAAAAGACCTGAAATATTTCAGTTGGTGTGCAATGAATCTAAAATATATGAAAGTTTAATTTTTATCATTACATTATGGAAAATAATTAACTTTATCACAATATGCTAATTTTTTTAGAAGGACCTGTATATATTATAAAGGCATTTAAATTAACTCATATTTTCTCAATAGTTCTTATATCTCATTCCTAACCCTTTCAGGCTAAATAAAATACATTAAAGCATTATTACATATTTTAAAAAATATAATGTACAAATCTAGCTACATGCACCACTACCTAAAAGTTTGGGGGTCATTGTGAATTGATGTTTAATTCATTTGATCTATCATTTATTTGATTTATTTTAATTTTGATTTGATCATACTATAGAAATATGAAAGTAATATTGTGAAATAATACAATTTAAAATAATTTCTAGTTTAAAACATCTTACAAAGTAAATTATTCCTGTGACGCAAAGCTGAGTTATCAGCATCATTACTCCAGTCTTCAGTGTCACATGATCCTTCAAAAATCATTCTAATATACTGATTTGCTACTTAAGAAATATAAAAGCATTTTTTCAAGTGGTCTTGGACTTTATACACGGTTCATGTGTTCACAGTAACACCAAACTGTGTGTGTGTGTGTGCAAAATGATGACTCTGCACCAAAAATGCTGCACTACGTTGCTTTGTGTAAAACAAGTAGCCCAGCACAAGTTATGACTCTTCATAAATCAATGGCCACACATTTCCTGTCAACACAGAAGTGGCTTTTATTAGCTGAGCTTACAGAATACTTGGGGCTCCACGGTGTGCTGAGCGAATCAAAGCACAGAGTACGGTGTACTTAATGTACTGTACATCACTTTGGATGAAACTATGTACAGATCAACTTGAGACAGTAGCATTTCAGCGTAATATTAAATTATTATAACAATACCTGATTATTTACCAATACAGTCTTCATGGGCATAGTTAGGAGCTCCATACTAGCACTCAAACAGATACTCATTAGTGCTTAGAAACAGATGCTACCTTTATTTGGTCCTGTAGACAATGATGAGCAACAGTTCCAACCATGAGGATAAAGGAAAGGCAAAAACAAGGGGGACAACTGTACTGTAAAGGCAGGCTTGGCGTCGGGACGACAGGTCAGATAAGAGTGAAGTCCCTTGTTTCAGTAGTGGTAAAGAAGAACATGTTAACTGAAGCTCAAGTGGCTTTAGAGAGTCTGGTTATGGTGGTGAGTGGACTCGGACTTAAAGAATACAACAATCGGAGTCTTCCTTCTTTTCCCGGCGCCTCTGTCCTCCCTGCTGCGATGCGGCTTGACCTCTCATCTGTGGGCATATGAAAAAAAGGACACAATTACTCTAGAGGTCAGTTTCAGTGACTCTTGAGTTTTGTTACTGCACTACTAACACCAAAAACACTGTAGTCGTGTAAATGAACAGCCACTAAATTAATAACTAATGATTTTTACAATGGAAATGAATCAATCAAAAACGTACTTAAGCTAGACAATGACTTTCTTCTAGATCTGCTGTACAACCAAAACAATCTTTGTGGCATTATTTCTGCTTTGAAACAATCTGTATTGTGAAAAGTGCTATATAAATGAAGATGACTTGAGTTGACACTATTGAGGAAACCATTAACTGAGCTGGGAGATGTTTATGAAGGGCATTTAACAACTTTGTTGGTTTTAGGCTTTTAAAAGGAAGGGTTCATCCAAAAGGGATGTTTTGTTGTTGTTCATTTTCACATAATGACAATTCATAGAAAATTCTTTAAAATATCAGAACTCATACAAGTTTGGAATGACAAGAGGGAATGAATTTTCTTTTTTGGGGTCAATGAGATTTTTCCTAAAAAATATTTTTTTGGAAAGAATAAATATTTTTACTCAGCAAGGATGTATTAAATTGATATCAAAAGTGACATATTTTGTAACATAATAAATGTCTTTACTGCAGCTTTTGATCAATTTAATTTATCCTTGCTGAGTAAAAGTATTTTTTAGGATTCTTTGATGAATAGAAAGTTCAAAAAATAAATTTTATAAATGCTGTTGTAACAAATTGTAACAAATAAATGCTGTTTCTGAACTTTCTATTCATCAAAACATCCAAGGGAAAAAAAGTATGATGTTTCCGCAAAAATATTAGGCAGCAAAACCGTTTCAACATTGATAGTAATATGACATGTTTCTTGAGCAGCAAATCAGCATATTAGAATGATTTCTGAAGGATCATGTGACACTGAAGACTGGAGTGATAATGCTGAAAATTCAGCTTTGCATCACAGGAATAAATTACAGTTTAAAACATATTCAAAAAGACAACAGGTATTTTAATTTGTAATAATATTTCATAATATTGCTGTTTTACTGTATTTTTTTAATCAAATAAATCCGGCCTAGGTGAGGAAAATAGATTTATTTTACAAACAAAAACAAAAAAATCTTACAGACCCCACATTTTTAAAAGGTCGTGTATTTCTCTGGGGTTTGAAAACAATCTGATATTCATATAACACAAGTAGAACAAATTTGTCTAAATCATGAATTAATCTATTCTTATGTAAATTGAATGCAATAATTTACACAATGGTTTGTAAATGACGATTCATCTGCTAGTGTTTCATGAATAAGGCCCATTTCCTCTCAAAGAAACGATCCCTAAAGTTTCATGCGCAGGTTTCCTCCTCAGGGAAAGCAGTACCTGTCCTGCTGTGGGTGGCTGCTGTTGTGTTTGTGGCTGCTGATACTCCTCCTGCTGCAGTTGTCTGGCCAGCTCAAGATCACTCAAGGGTCCCGGAGCTTCACCCTGCTCCTGCTGCAGGGACATCGCCACCAGATAGTCCTGGAAAACACATTCAATCACTTGCAAACCAATCTTTCTGTAGACGCCAACACGAAAGGCTTTCTCGATGCATTTAACTTCCTTAAAATGACATATTTCTGAGTTCAACAGAATAATCAGTGGGAAATAATCTAAGGCTGAACTCGGAATTTGACTGGACTGTGAGGAGGTGCAAAATTTTAGGCTATGATATTATTGGTTACTATTAAACTTACATTGTACCAAAAAGAAAAGAAAAATCCTTTACCACCTGGTCGATCTGCATTTGCTGCTGTTGCACGGAGGGCTGGCTGGCTGCTGTGGGCTTCTGGGATGGGTGACACAATCTGAAGTCTGAGTCACAGAAATTCCCATCCCCCTCCACATTATGGAGACTCTCCCACACCACGCTCTCCTCCTGCAGGAAACCCTGATCTGTGACCAGCAGGTAAAGGTGACCCTGCAGATTCACACATTGAACATAACGATTAAAGCTCAGCCAATAGCTGAAACAAAGCCAATCAAATTTTAAATGCATTTCCATAAGGTTCAAGTACCATCATTATCATCCAACTTGAAATGTGTTGCTTTTTCAGCTTGTATTTAATTTTATTTATATTTTTAAAAAAAGGCACTGAATGTCTCTATTTACTGCAAAAATGATGAACTATGACATTTCCACAGTTATTAACATCATAAATCTAGCAAAATATTTTTTGTGTGGGTGTTTCTAATACAATGGCTAAGGGAGAGACAGCAAATTTGACATTGTTCTCTCTTCTGACTGCTGTAATCAATCTCTGAATATTATTTCCTGTTTTGGAACGGATTTTTTTTCTTTCTTTAGATATTGGAACAAACAGGAACACAAAAAATATATTTGTTGTAGTTTCAGTTCACCACTATAGAAGTTTACCCAACTATGACGACTTCCACTTCTATGAACACCAGAAATGTGAAAAGGGCCCATTAATTGTGATCTGAACTGTTTTTTTTTGTCTACAAAGTCTACAAAGCAAAATATCTGCATTATAGAGCCTCTTTCTGCTCAAAATTTGAGCAAAATGCATTCCAGTTGATGTATGTTTTTTACACGGGGTAAAAAACATGAATAAATAAATACTTCTGTGCTATTTTTGCTATATAAATCTGCCCTCAAATCTTTTCCTTTTTTTTTTTGGTGGTGGGTTTAAAGCGGCTTGACGACACTGGTGTTGTTATAATCAGCTTAGCGGCCATGAAGAGTGTTGGTGCGGGAAGGCTGGTAAACACCTTGTGTTTTATCATAGTGCTGAAGTGGTTGTTCCTGAAAAACACAGACAGCTCGCCCTCCTTGGCAGTGGTGTTGAGCTCACACAGGCCGTGATACGACAGCTGGGTTGCTGTGGACTCCAAAAACTGCTCTGCTATCAAACCTGTCGACAAACCAGAGATTAAGACTTACCATCAGCCATTAATACAATGCAGAAAAGTTCACACACCTCTGATACACAATATCTGAGCCATTAGTGTATACCAATAGCTCATTTAGGGGTCCTATTATGCAAATATTAAAAATAAAAAGGACTACAATGCAAAAGATTATTATTGTGTACATAAAGATATGGTGGAATCCGGCTTGTCCCGTAAATGGTCTGCTTGCGCGCTTTAACCTCGCGCACGAGCAGATCCGTTTGCTCTCTGGAGAAGTGTTCAGTCTCTCCGCTTGCAAATTACGCCATGTAAATAGTGAATCCGCCATGGCGCGAGCACAACTGGCTTTTAAAGGGAATGGGAAATGAGATTGGTTGATTGCACGTTACGCCCAAAACACACCCATTACTCATTAGGAGAATAGGGACAACCCTTTTAGCCCATGCGCCAGGTGCGCAGACCACTTTTCCCGTCGTTAAACTAGCAAAAGGGGATTCGGACACGCCCTAACTGCACTTGCGCCGTGCGCTTTAGACCATGCGCTTAGACGATTAAAATATGGCCCTTAATCTCTTATAATTAGGGCCCAAGCCTTGAAAAGGCGAAGGCCCTATTGTTTTCCTAAGGATTATTATTTATTATTAGGGCCCAAGCCTTGAAAAGGCGAAGGCCCTATTGTTTTCCTTAGGATTATTAGGGCCCAAGCCTTGAAAAGGCGAAGGCCCCTATTGTTTTCCTAAGGATTATTATTTATTAGGGCCCAAGCCTTGAAAAGGCGAAGGCCCCTATTGTTTTCCTAAGGATTATTATTTATTATTAGGGCCCAAGCCTTGAAAAGGCGAAGGCCCTATTGTTTTCCTTAGGATTATTATTATTATTATTATTATTTTATCGACTATTCGGGCACTTTTGGGGCTCTTAACGTGCACGAAAACTCTTGAAACTTTGCACACTGGTCAGAACCCGCGGCCATCAGAGCCGGGCTGAAGCTGGTACCCGGGCGTGGCAGGGGGGCTCGACAGCGCCCCCTGGAACGGGCTCCGAAAACTTGGTCCATAAATCAAACACGCTTGCATGGAATAATATGAAACTCGGTACACTTATAGATCTCATCGGTTCATATATACTTCATGCTCTGATTTTTTACCCCAGCCCGACAGGATGTCTGCTATTTAGGGTTGTTTGGAAAACCCATGCTCAGGAATTCGAAATACTCCTCCTAGAGAATTCAAACACACGGCACGAAACTCGGTCAGCATGAAGTCAAGACACTGAGGATGAAAAATTGCCAGGGGATTTTTGATATCTCGAACGCTTTGGCCGTGGCGAGGAAACGAATTTATGGCGAGAAACAAGAAACAGGAAGTGTGTTATAACTTCTGCATACATTGACTGATCTCGATTAAACTTCAGCAGTCTGTTCGCTGTAAGAGACCGATCACATGGATGTGACTATTGTGAGTCAAAGTTATAGCGCCACCAACTGGCAGCAGGAAGTGTGTCACTTTCAAAATGCTTTGAAATCACCCTCTTATTTTTACCCGATTTGCTTCAAACTTTATGTGTATAATGTAGACACTCGCCAGATGTAGACCTGTGAAAGGATTATTGATGTCTTAGATACTGTTGCCATGGCAACGCATCAAACTTTAATATTCTTTTTGGATGCTTTTGAGACTCTTAGCATGCCTGAAATTGCTTAAAATTGCATGAAACTCGACAGACAGATCACATTTATTAGCTAGTAGACACGTGCAAAGTTTCAGAAACGGGCGTGGTGAGGGGCTCAGTAGCGCCACCTTTAGTCAAAAATGGGGTATTAGTTTTACCTACAGTAACAAAAATCGGTATGTATATTCGTCTCCTCGAGCCGGACAACTTTCTAATTGACAGTCATTAGCTCCGAACAACACAAAGTCAGATATTTTGGTTTGAATGTGATTTTCAGGAGAATTTTCTCCCTCCCTCTCTGTGTGTGGGGGGTTTGGGGAATTTGACTATTATTTTAATGGTGTTCAAGGTTTCAGGGGCTTTTGGGGCCCTTAACGTGCTTGAAAACTCTTGAAACTTTGCACACAGGTCAGCGCCCACAGCCATCAGGGCCGGGCTGGAGCTGGTACCCGGGCGTGGCAGGGGGGCTCAACAGCGCCCCCTTGAACGGGGTCCCCAAAACTTGGTCCATAGATCAAACACGCCTGCATGAATTAATATGAAACTCAATACACATATAGATCTCATCGGGCCGAACAACTTACCCTCGGTCAAGTTTTACGCCAGCCCAACAGAAAGTCGGCTATTATGGGTTGTTTGGAGAACGCTTGCTCAGGAATTTGAAGTACTTCTCCTAGAGATTGCATCCGTTTACCGCCAAACTCGGTCAGCTTGAGGTCAACACATTGAAGATGCTAAATTGCGGACGGATTTTTGATATCTCGAACGGTTTGGCCGTGGCGAGGAAACGAATTTATGGCGAGAAAAGAGAAACACGAAGTGTTATAACTTCTGCATACATTAACTGATCTTGATGAAACTTCAGCAGTGTGTTCGTGGTAAGAGGCCGATCACATGGATGTGACTATTGTGAGTCAAAGTTATAGCGCCACCAACTGGCAGCAGGAAGTGTGTCACTTTCTAAATGCTTTTGACAAAAGTGGGGGGGTTAGTTTTATCTACAGTAACGAAACTCGATATGTATATTGTACTCTTCGAGCCGGACAACTTTCTAATTTACCGTAATTAGCTACGACCAACAGGAAGTCAGATATTTTGGTTTGAATGTGGATTTCAGATTCTGAGTTTTTAGCTACTCCTCCTAAGTAGTTTATTTTATTCATGCCAAACTTTTTCAACATGATGAAAATACATTGAAGATGCTAAATTGTGAACAGATATTGAATATCTCAAACGGTTTTGCTATGGTTGAGGGATTCAAGTAATGTCAAAAAAAGAATCAGGGCATGTCTCATATCTTTCTAAAATGTAATTATACACCATTTATTTTTATATAAAATTATATAAATATTAGAACTAAACCCATTTTATTCCTTTTTTTCTATTTAAGAATTATTTTTAAGTTTAAAAACAGCCAGAATGGTTGTTTAGTCAAAAATAATAATAATCCAAATCATATATAGTGCTATACTGCCCTCTTGTGTTCAAAATCAGGTAGGCCTATTGAATTTATATATATTTATATATTAGGGATGTTACTATGGGAATATTTTCCCACCGGTTAATCAACGTGTGATTGTGTAAACCAATTGTGTAAACCTCCCGCTGGGGGGGTTTAAAAACACTAACTTGAAAGCGAAAGTATAATATGGACGTCCGCACGGACATTGAAATGGTGGCGCTCGAATGAATTCCTATGGAAGTAGAAATTAACTAAACGTTCGCTCTGTTCTGCTCGCTCGTCGCCATGGACGCGCACCGTTATGAATGCCAGTGCAGCCGCATACTTTTTAGTGTCACTAAAATTAGTGCAATTTCGGGGGCCGATTGCTTGAATTGTGAGTTCGTCTATTATTTTTCACGGAAAACACAACAATAAAAGAGTACAATGACAGATTCGCTTAAATAGGCGTTTTTACATAAAATAGCCTATTCCGTCATCATCTTTTCAGTCAGCTCTTCACTCTCGTGATTAATGAAATTTGACTCCTGTTGCTGATATTTGCTGCAACTTTCGTTCAGCTCACAATTTAGTAAGCAAACACGTTTCAAATGTGTTTTTATTTTATTTTTGTGTATGTGTGTGTATATGTATGTATATATATAAATATAGCTTATGTTTCAAATATGAGTTAATTAACAATCGTTGGAAAGAATGATACTTTTAAACATAACACTAAACCGTCATTAGGTGTCGCCAGGCGACCGTCTTAATGAGCGAGTCATTGATTCATTCGTTTGAACGACTGAGTCATTCATGAATGAGACAGATGTTTATGGATTGATTGGTCATTGAATCTTTGAGTCAACCGATTCGTTCA